TACGTTCTTTAAGATCCTCAGAGAGTTCTTTGCCATGTGGTGCCATGTTGGAACTTTCAGTGACCGGTAAGAGAGAGTGTTAGAGCTGCACTACAAATTTGAATACACCTGGTCCCCATGAACACATGGGCATAGCTACACTAATGAGTCACATGACATTTTGGAAAATGAAAAGCAGTACCCAATTTAGACATTTAGGGGTGTAGTTTATTAGGGGTGTACTCACTTTTGTTGCCAGGGATGGCTATATTTTGAGTTATTTTGAGGGGAAAAGAAATTAACTCTGTTATATATGCTGCAGACAGACTACTTTTCATTGTGTCAAAAGGTAATTTTTTCAGTGCTGTCCCATGAAGAGATATGCTTAAATATTTGAAGAAATGTGAGGGTGTACTCACTTTTGTGATACAATATATATATATATATATATATATATATATATATATATATATATATATATAATTGTGATTAAGGTGCATTTGGACGTATTTATTTGACTGGTGAACTTGATTTGTCTTAACGAAGAGTCTTGCATCACCAGCAGTAATAGTCAATGTTTACAAATTCACTTTTGTCACGAGGGCTCAACCGAATTAATTTTTTCAGGAGCATGTATATATTATCATCCACAGACAGACTGTTTCGCTGATTTACAGCTCATCAGTGTGGCTATGTGTGTATCATTTTTCTCTCCCTCATAAAAACTGTAAATAAGGTCCGCAAAGCATTTCTTCCTTTTCCCTTCATATGTTGTCGGGCGTAGCTAAGCACATATGGAGGGAAAAGGGAGATGACCGACCCTGTGGGTTGAGGTTGAAATAATTGACAGAGAACATCATTAGAAAATACAAAAAAGAATCAGCACTTATGATAGACCACAAAAATATCCTAAGCAGACTAAGCATGGAAATGAATACAATATGGGAACCAGTAATACGGAGTGTTAGAGAAAAGTAATAATAACAACAAAATTGCAATATTAGCTCTGATCAAAAATGATTACTTAACAATTAATTTTATAAGTCCCCAAAATTCAGACAATGATGTACTCATGGACACATGTCTCAGTGGATAAAAGCCTCTGTTGAATCCAGTGACTAGACCCAAAAGTTGTGAGTTCAATACAAATAAAATACGTTGAAACAAACAAAAACTTGGAGAGATGAGTTAAAGAGAGATAACTGAGACAATCGGAAGAGGCATAGCACGTGGAACTAGAACAATTTACCCAGGTGGACGAAATAAAAGGTTCAGTTCGAAATTCTAATTACCTGAAGAAGGCCGGAGCATACAACGGCCGAAATGTCGTGAATATGGCAATACAGATGAGGACAACAGTCCGAACAATGTAAATAACCTCATAAATATAGACAGATATAGATATTTGAAGCCTACGTACAGACACATTTCAGAGCTTGAAGATCGCTCTTTTTCTTTACTCGCGCGCATGTGTGTGTGTGTGTGTATTGTGTTGGAAAAAAAATCTTCTATACGATATATTTCTTTGGCTAGAAGGAAAGAAAATTGATGATTTAAAATCGATTTTTGCCATTCTACACGCACACACACACACCCACACATGCACACGCACACGCTGTACACACACACATACACACACAGACAGAAATATAATATACACGACTTGTGACAATTTAATTCTTGGAATGACCGAAGCGTTTCACTAGTGTAATGAATCAGGCAAACATTTGTACTGGAGCAATTCCGATCATGTTCTTTCTTGAGACCCAGACCCAGATGAATCATTCATTGTCGAGCAGTAGAGGAAATTGTACGTGTTCATGTTATACATGAACAATGGAGGAGCAGATTAACATCAGGTTTTGCATGAAAACTGTTAGAATTGCCAGAGAAATGCTAATCTAATTAAAAATGACTTATGGGGGATCATGCTATGTAAAAATCGTGGGCTTTTGAGTGACACAGGTACTTTAAGAAAGCTGTACACGATGTATACGAAAAAAAAAAGATCCACACGATAATGCAAGAAATGGGCAGCCAAAATACAACAAAAATGTGGACAGAGAGCGAAGCTTGGTATGTTCAAACCGAAGATTATATACACTACTGACAGCATAAGAATTGAATCTGAAGGCGGCATGTTTTATTAGAGGATTGTGCCTCGAATCTTGATAGATGAATAAAGAGAATATTTGATTCATGTTTCATTTGATCTTTTGTATAATGCCTAGGAGTTTGACAGGGCCATTCCGCGTGATGAAAATTAACAATTTCACAAGGGGAGATTTGTGAAAGGTGATAGCTGTCAAAAGTGACTTTCACTGGGCCATTACGAGAATTTTCTCATCTAATATTCATACATATATATATATAGGCGCGTGAAGGGGAAGGGGAACTAAAAATTTAAACTTTTAAATTTAAATATTTTATATATATATATATATATATATATATATATATATGCTTGTATGTGTATGTGTGTGTGTTTGAATTAGTTTTTCTTTTTATGTTCTTATCACTTTTCTTGTTTAGTATACCCTATTATGATAACAAGATCTGCCAAGAAATTATCACAGATCTTACATCTACATTGATATCTTTTACGCTGAAACATGTTTGCAGCATTTTTTAATAGGCGGCATTTTGAATATGTCCTTACGTTTTCTACTAGCATGAAATGAAGCGACTATATCGAATCAATAGCTGAATCAACTGCAAAAGAATTTGGGTTACTGTGTTGTACCAGAAGATTTTTCTCGCCAGACTCCATCTTGCACATTTACAAATCTACCTTTCGTCCGTGCATTGAATACTGCTACCATATCTGGTCTGGTGCTCCTGCTGTACATCTTGAGATTCTTGACAAAATCCAAATAATCTGTAATATAATCGATCCTGACCAGACATCTCGACTTGAGTCACTTTCTCACTGATGTGACATGGCTTCCCACTGCCTTTTCTACAAATATTTTTATGGCAACTGTTCTGACGAGCTCTTTAACCTGGTGGTCCGGATACATGAATTTAAGTGGACTACTAGATTGGCATCTAGATCCCACTCCTTTTGCTGTTGAAATAGATAAATACAAACGCCACTTCTACTTCAACAATTTCTTTTCTCGCACTTCCCGCCTATGGAATTCCCTCCTGTTTCATTGCTGTCCTGATAACTACAAACTTCAAAAATTTAAATGTAGTATCAGTTGCCATCTTCTGTCTTCTTGAGTCCGCTTCAACTTTTGTCATTTCCACAATCCTCCCTATTCTGAGTCTTCTTTTTCACTTTCAGTCCAAGTAAACCCTTGAGTACTAGTGGCATTCCCACCTTGCTTGGGGTGAAATGATTAAATAACTGATTTAATTTCCCACGTGACTGAAATTTAGGACATACATATTTCGAAAGGTCACAACGCGTCTTTTTATATGAATCATGTGTGGATTGGGAAATTTAAATGATTATGAGTAAAAAATGGAGAAAAATAAATTTAGAATGGTGGGGAGGATGAGATTTATTTTATGGTCTTTTATTTCCAGAAAAAAAAAAATAAGAAAAATAAGAAAAAAAATAAAAAAAATATAGGTGCCGTTTATAGAAATGGTTCCATAGCTGAGAATTTCGGTTGATAGGTAGTTCGCTAGATTCAGAAGTGGACATATTGATCTGGGAGACCAACAATGTCCCGGTGGGCCTGAAATCGTTGATGATGATCAAATAGAGATCACTTACAATTCAGGTCACACGACACAGGAATTCACAAAGAGACCCCCTCATCTCTCATAAGATATTGGACAACATTTGTATTTTGTTAATCAATATGATGATTGGGTGTTTCTCAAATTAACGGAATCAAATTTAACAAACAGCATTTTCATCTGTTCTTCTCAAATCAAACACAACATAAATGACCCATTCTTGAAAAGAACGATGACAGACCATGAAGAATTGATTGTTTACAACAAAGTAAATGGTAATATTTAATGGGAAAACTTAGCAGAAATTCGTAAAAATACTTTTTTGTCATGTCTTTACTTTTTGTTAGGCCATTTCTCTTCATATCGTTTTTCTTTTAATCAGCGTAAACTTTTGGTTTTTCTTGCTTTTTAATTTACTGCTTTTATTTTATTTGGGCGCTACACCGGATTTTCTTTATTATTTAATTCAGTGTAATTTTGTGTTACGGTAGACTTGTTTGTCGCAATACTTTTTTCTTTTTTGTTGCGATTTATATGAATAGGTAAAAAAAAATGCAAATGGCTGACAACGGTAACACTATGAAAAAATAACTTTTCGTATGTGTTTCTAAGGCAGACCCTAGCCTAAAACAAAGAGTAAATTTGTAATCTCTGTTGCAGATTCCATATTAATTGACTCCCCGAATAAGGAAAGGAACCAAGACCAAAGAAAAGGAAAACATATAAATGAGAAAGAATGTAAATTCCAAAATAAAGAGAAAAGAAAGATGAAGAACATTCATTTGTCGAAGAACTTCCTATATTGAAATCTCCTTCCAAATGTCTCATCAATATGATGAAATTTGTCGAGTGGGTCAAAAGTTTCGCCTATCTTATTAAAGAATAGCGGACCTTTCCGAATTAAAGAGCATTGAAACCTGAACCAGGTCCTTTTTCTAAAATCATTGACAACTTTAAGGGTAAAGCTGCAAGTCATAATAAAAGCAATAGTTTCATCATATAGAACAGTGTTACCTACACTCGAAGGCTTCCAACACCTGGCGACAAAACATTTAATTACAAAAGTATCAAATATTTTTTGATTGATTCGTTTTCTCAACCATCTTAAAGTTATTTAAAGCCAGAGAATATTTTTAGTTTGTAAGAATTCTTTTGAGATTTAGTGATACAATTCTTACTAATTAACCCAAAATTGGGGAGTGATGATGTAGATTCATATCTTTTCCAAGTGTATTTGCGCGTTAGTGAATATAACAAACCCAATTGGACTTTGGCTCTTCGTTTAACAATTCTGAATCATTATCTATTACACTACCTTCACATCCAAG